CGAGAAGAAGCAAAGAATAATAAAACAAACAAACAAGCTAACAAAAACAAAAAAAATCAGTCAAACATACCTCACTAACTACATAGACCGACTTTAAATAGTATTATGCTATTTTAATACTCACCAAAGCAGAGGACGGTCTGGACCCGTTCACTGTCAAAACCAATCCCATGATGCCGATGGGTATGACCTGAAAAAAACATTCAACTCCTCGATCAGTAGTCATAGGATCGATACGATTAATATCGGAGTTGATTTCAATAGCATCACTTTTTGAGCAGGAAAAAAAAACAGACATGATAAGATCCACTATAGATACAGTTCAAAAAAACCTGTGTGATAACTCATTTATTTCGCGCAGATTGCTCATTATAATAAGAGACTTTTAAAATGCTATCGCTGAAAGCCGATGCAAATCGAAAACGTATCTACAAAACTCGATAACAAAGGTTTCATCTTGTTTCTTTGTTAAGTTCAAAAAACAATTCTCGCTTACTCGGGAAGTGAACTTGAAAATAAAAGAATTTAATTGTCAAAAAGCTGACTTAAGGGCAATTCACACAGAAAATGTGCCGACACGTTCATTTCGCGGCGCAGCATAATTAAATGCCCGACAGAATATTCGAAGCATTAGTAGAATTTTCTTGGCTAGCACTGCCTTCAGATAAAGAGTATTTTCCCGTTTCAAGCGATTTCCCCGACTCAGTAGATCCCGAGATATCATTTTTTTAGAACAGATTTTTACAAGTGCGGGTTATCTGCCAGTGCGGGTGATCTGTTGAAAATTTTTTCACGCCATTGCAAAAATTGACCGAGGCGGGTAATCTGCCGCGCGGGTAAATGATCGAAATTACGGTAAATGTTAAAATAGGAGGAGGCATGAAGTAGAATTAGGAAGAGAGACAAACGAAGAAGTACATTCATTGTAAATTTATTCAGATGTCTTCAATTTATTGTGGAAGAAAAGCATTGTCTGTAAAATGTTGTTTTTCCGGCTTTATTTGATTTTACAGAAGACATTTTACAGAAGCCTTTAGCTAGCGTGACTTATGTCACGCAACCTAATTGACGTATGGGAGCCTTACATTGAATCCAAAAATACTCTCATCGACAGATTTTTCCGAAAACTTCTATCTACAAATAAAAGCTTAGGTTGTTCTTAAAAGAGAAATTCGAGGTCAAATCATCGAGTTCCCTTCGTCTGGCAGTGCAATCATTAGCATTTCTGATCGACTTCCGCGAGTGTAAAACATCCTACGCAATGTTTATTTTGTTAACTTCACAGCAAAACTGAGAGAAGTCCTAATATAACTTTAGAATGATGCGGACTGTTTTATCGAAGTATTGTGATATATTTCTCAATCTTCGAACTACTTTGATCGCTCAACATATAAAAACAGCAAAAGTTGAATGTTTCCAAGTCACAGACGACCGATTCACTTTTGAAGGGCAAACTTTGTATTCTACGTTTCCAATGTCAACATATTTTGACCCAATTTGAGAGTGCGGTTGTATTCTTATCGAAAGAATTACGGACGAGATATTTGCAGGTGGAAGGTTGTGAATCCTAATGGTTTCAGATTATCCAGTAAAATGTAATTCTACGTAAACATTCACCCGACATTTGTAGTATGAGGGATTGGAACAGGATTTCACTTTAAGCTTCGAAGTAATTCCTGTCCCAGAACACCGTAACGACCAGATGCTTATTTAGAACAGCAAGATCCAATATCTTTGCATGTTTTGCTGACCTAAACCCTCTGCTAGAAAATGTAAATTTAGACAGTGCTTTGTATTTGCACTCTTTTGAGAAATATAATATACTTACAAGTAGAGCAATCCAAATTGGCATCAATATGAGACTGGCATACATGTAGCGAACTTCAAAATGATCTACCATTCCGAGAACGAAGAGGATACCTGCCATTACAAGCTGAGCGATCGAAATAATTTTAAGGTCTCGTTTGTTGGACGCCATTTTGCTGGATTCCTTGGCAAACTCAAAGAAACAATAGAGAAGTTCGCGAGGCGGACTACAATTTATACGCCTGATGAC